TCAGTGACAGCCGGTTTGAGCCCCGAAATGCAAAGGTAATTTTTAGACTTATTATAACAATATAAAAATGAAAATCAAATTAGTCAGCACCTTGTTGCAGCAGTCCCATAAAAATATATAAGATATGAAGGGGCCTCCATTTTTTTTTTAATAAATCTAGTTAAGCATCAAATTGTTACCTGGGATACCAACACCAGGACAATCGCTACTGTGCTGAAAATTACCAACATCGCATGTATAACAACGATAACAACACCCCACTCAATCAATCTTGCATTCCAAACAGCAGTGCTGGCAGCACCGGTTGTGATTTGTTAAAAATAAATATCCTCCAATCGGCCTAATCCTCGGCAAAAGTGAGGAAAAGTGACGCGATATTTCCTCATTTAATCTCTATCCGTTCCGTACATTACGAACCACTGATTGTGGACTAATTTCTGGAAGACCAATAGCCAAACAAAAACATTGGAGCAGTCAGAATTTGCTTCCAATCAAAGGTGCTCGTCGTGATTCTGAGCTGTCAATTTTTTTCCTGATTGATTCCCTCTACTGCTGCTACATCATCGGCCATTCCATCGAACAGCAAACAAAGTTGCAACGCAACGGTGCAACAACCGCAAATCTAAGAAAATTTATCCCGCTGCTTAAGGCCCGTGTCTTGGTTCGCGTACTCGTATTACTCTCGGTTTCAGCGAACAAAACAAAACAGCTGTCAAAATACCGAGTTGCCAAACATGTATTAACTCACAAACAAACAAAGATAGCTCGATGACTGGTTACCGGCACAGCTGCGGCACAATTGTGGCACACTGAGAAAAAAAGTGAATGCGGACACCACTAGATGGCTGTGAAACGTCATTTTGACATCCACCGTCAATTACAGTCCTCTGAGTAAAAGTAAGGACGTCTGTCAACTGTTTTTACTAAAGTACTTTACCATCAATGTGGAATATAACGGCCGTTCATAAATAACGAGACAATTCGGAAGGAACCGGGGCTAATCACAAACGACGTCCCCACGGTAACTAAAAAAACACAAGTGCTGATCGGTTGCTAGCACCACGTAGCGAGAAAATTCACCAACTAAAAATCCTTGACCCACTGAACAACTTTGTCGAAGGCAGATACCTTCTACATGTTCAGGATCACGATATATTTCAAATTGGAACCAATTCTGTCAAAACCAAAATTACGCGGATTCCATTTACAATGTTCTACTTTACCGCGCTATTTAGAGTATTACTGTAACTAAAACTAATGCTGAGTCTGAGAAGGAAATAAACTGCTGTGAGCAGGAGTTTTCAGTGATAAAAAAGAAAATTTCGTAATAACTTCTAAAATAGTAATTTAATTCGAAATCTTTAACAAAATCTAGTGAGTTTAGTGTACGATCCATTTGCTGAATTAACGATAATCATTGTGTGTGCGAATTATTCGTTGATTTTGGTGAACCACCTTCCGAAATGGATACAATTCCGAAGCAAGCAGACACATCCGCTAATGACGAGGAACGATTCGAGGATGCTTCGAGTAAGGAATTCAACGAAAAGGCCGTGGAGGAAGTCATCCAGCAGGTTGGCGGAAGAGCACATTGGTAATTCGCTGAACACAAACACATCTGCCTCCTCGGAACAAGCGGACAAACTTGTGGATTGTAAAAGCGATGCCAAAAGTGACGATCGAAGTAGGCCGCGCTGCGAAAATGACGTGTTTTTGTTTTGCTGCGTCGTTTTCGTTCTAGTGAATTGTTATAAATTTACAATTTCATTTTTAAGAAGTGTTAATTTGAAAGTACAGAAGTGATGTTGAAAAGAGCACAAATTTTTATCCGTTGCATGTGGTGCCAGTTACGTAGTTATAGTGCGTAGTTACGCTCAGCTAAGTTTATTTACCTTTTCGTTCCTCTGTCCTCGATAGAAAATATCTATCTAATTCAAGACGATCATTTCAAAACTTACTAAATACGCGTCAATCAAGTATTGCACTACTGCTTGATTTAAAGTTTCAGTACATTATCAATGCATTGCATCGATAATGTATTGGAGTAGGGCTTATCATGTGTGAAAATAGCTTCGGAATGCTTGCGTTCTTGAAATGCGCTAGAGCTGTCACCTTCTAATTCCCGGGTTCAAGCTTCTTGCATTCATAAGAAATGATTGCAGGCAGATTTTATCCATAATGCCACTGCCAGACTGTGGGAGTTTGGCCAAGGGCGAATCTTCATTCTAATCTACGATTCCATATACTATTAACAACCTTTTACGCATGAGAACCTCCTATCGATCAGAATGAATAGTGCATATGTTTAGGATCAACAAACATTTTCAGGCGCAAAGGAGCAACAGGATCGAGCTGATAAAGTTTCTTAATTCCAAAATCTGAATAAGAGATGAACTAGCCTATGGCTGAAAATCTCTATAATAAAGGAAAAAAAAAAAAAAAAAAAAAAACAAAATCTGAATACTGTTTTGAATAATATGTTTAGGTAATAGGCAGCAACAACGGACAGATAACCTACATACAGCTTCTTTTTATTTAATGCTTGATATAACGATTGCCAGCAACGCCGGCTGGGTGTATCCTATGGCTTACTCTTCCTACTAACAAAAATCCATCTTTCCCGTGTCACTTATGAGGGGTCGTAGAGTTCTCTGCATCTCTCTTAAGTAAGTGTGGGATTAACATTCCTCCCCTTTCCCCATCAGATGCAAGGACGTGGCCAGGACAGCTCTGGTCTGTTGGAGGGAGGCACATCCTTTATCTAAGAGGTAGTAATTAATCACAAATTACTATCTAACAGCAACGGATGAAGGTGGGTTTCCTTCTTAACAACAGTTTGGAGCTCGTACCACCTACGACATTGTGCAACCGTGTTTATGCTATGCTATGATATGCTACTGTAACCAAAACTTATGCTATTTTGTTCAAAGCCATTTTTTTTTTCAGGAATGCTCGTTAGTTTCACATGGATAAGTGAGTTTGCAATATGGAAAATCCACATGTATTTTACAAAGTACAACAGCGCGAGTGCTCGAGTGTTAAGCAAGGAAATTCTTCGACCATCGTTGTTATTAATACACGGAGCGTACCTAATTTTTTAGGCAAATATTATATTATTACGCAAACATGATCAAAAGTAGTGATGCATTTGAACGCGATCAATTCGAGATCTGATCAAGAGATCTGAACTTGCGTTCAAGTTGAATAAAAGCCCGTGTAGTTCATAAAGGCCCAAGCTCAATGACAGCGGAAGCGGAAAAGTCCCATCTGAGTATGCCTACTTGTCGGATTGAAAACTAGGCGACTTTGGTTAGGCATCTTGAGGTAATTTTTGACAACTGTCAAACTTTCCGTTTCCGTTCCGCTTCCGCCCACATTGCGTTGAAAGAACTCGAGGAGGCTTTCCAGAACGGAAAATGAACGCTGGGTACATATGTGTTGCTATGGTTAATTTCACTGTTATTTTTTGATTTCCGAAATCCACCCCTACTCTACGGATGGAGCTGGTTTGGTCATTTTCTGTGGGTGTGCTTACTGATGGTACCTCCACTGCTGATGTGTTTTCTACTGGTGCTGGTGTGAATCTCGTGACTTAGATTTATCCATATTACGAATGTTTAAATTGTGCTCAGCTTCTTTGTAGCTGGAACACCCAGCCTCATGATGGTGCTCGTTTGCTGATTTTTATTGGATTCATATGCTCCGTACTGTCACATTGATAAATTCGAGCCCTAACATTTCTGGCAAGAACTTAGAATACAGCATCATACTTCATCTCTAATGGATATCTTGAGGACCATCCGTATTCACTTTCTAAAAATTTAACACGGCATTATAGATCATCTGAGCGTCAATCTTTGGTGGAAAGTTGAACAGACATCCGTAACGTATGATGGCGGTGTAAGAGGAAAGGTAAGGTGTGTAAAATTATAAGACATACACTACACATTAGATACAGGAAATACGTAACGGTTTGGGCTATGATTGAATTCATAAATGACAGTTCCATAACTTTAAATTTGAATTTCCGCCATGTCTTTAAGCACTTTGCATAAACAAAATAGCTACATAGAAACAGAAACAGCTTACACTCTATGCACTACTCTATTGTCAAAGTTTGAATACGAAGTTCCAAATTTCAACAGTTCGTAACACATCAAATGATCCCAAGAAGAGATACCTGTTAGCTTCTCCCAATAGTAGGGGAAAAATCAGCTTCGGCAATACCTTAACCTATTATCGTCAGGGGGTAAACAAAGTCCTAGAGCACCCATTTTCGTTATACGCCTCAAAAACAATTAAGACAGTCAGTTACATATAAGATGAATGCATCAAAATCTTTGCTCACGAGTTAAATGAAGACTGATGTAACTAAATTCAATGGGGATGTCGAGTTACCGATTTAAGGGGGGTGTTCCGAAGAGATCTGAATGAAGTATGACGAAGTAGTGCCACACTTCGATAGAGATTTCACTCAGTCTATTAGTATACTCCTGGACTGAGTAACTTTTTCCAGGAAAAGCCCGGAAAATTCAACTCACTTTTGAGTAAATTCATTTTTGGCGAAATTGAGCTGACTCATCGCAATTTTTAGTTGGTCTGGTACCATACAGTACACACACACTCACTTAGAAATGAACTAGTCGCAGGCTAAAAATCACTCAACAAAAGAAAAAAAAATCGCACATTACATACGATCTCGTCGAGCTGAGTTGATTGTTTTATCACACTTGACAGGGTGGGCTATTGACCTGGAATTCCTCGAAAGTGACATAGTATAATATTGATCATTACAGTAAGATGACTGCATTTGGGTTCCATGTCTTTCGGCCTTTAACACGTTTGCCCAGGACAAATATCACATGCAATACCAATTACCAATCACACGCTGTCAATTAACTAATTTATTATTTCTGTTCGACTTATGGCAAAGATTTCCTTTTCTCTCTTTATAGACGTATAATTATTTAGTAAAAATTTAAGCTCATTTATTCTCACAAAAAAAACCCATTTTAAAAATATATCGTCACAATCTTACAAACTATTAAAGCTACCACTTTGCTTTGTTGAGACACCGTTCGCGTATTAAAGCTCACAAGTTTCATGAAGAAATACAAGTTTATCATCCCACATCACAACACATCGTCTACCAACGGTTCCCATTCACCAGGGCCTCCACATGTCCCCACCAGAGTGGGAACCATGCTCCTCTTCGTCCCCTTCTGGATCGCTTTCGTCCTCGCTGAACTCCACCTCGGTCTCAACTTTTGCCCTCTGTACGTCCCTCGCATCCAATCGTTCATCCTTCTCCGGTTCACGATGCAGCCGTATCCGGTCGATCAGCTTGTGGTTCGGTTTGAAGGCTGAAATTCTGCTGCTCTCCTCCGGGGTAGGGGGCGTTGGAAACGCGGCCATCAAACTTTCCATCAAACCGGGCCTTGTTTTGATTCGTGGTGTAGTCTTCAGATCCCCTTTTACACTTTCATGATCGGACACTGGGCTCAGCGGTGGACTGGGGGCGTACGGTTGCTTCTCGTGAGAGATCGGTTTGAAGTGATCGGAATTGAGGGAAGGTAATCCTTGTCCCGTTGGAAGTCTGGGGAAGAAGGGTAAACCGCTGGTGCTGTTGTGAGGCATTATGAACGCAAGCTCTCCACTGGGGAGAAGGGATGGAATCAGTGGCATTCCGTCCACTGCCAGCCGACCGTTGTTGTTGATTTCGTCGGTTGTCCTTCCGAATAGACCTCCAAACGAACCAACTGCTCCCGATTGTGGGAACCGTTGATACCTCAAGTAGGATTTCAAGTGATTGGAAACGCGTTGCTTCATTCCGCTGTCCACACCGGAAACGGTGTTGAGGTATTTGTCGATTTCATCGATACACTCGTTGAAGCCATTTTTGAACTTGTCAGCTACGGTCGGATCAACAGCCATTGCGATCGCCAGTTTTCGTCGTTCCATATCTTGCAGGTGCTTTACGGTTAGATCCAAAATGTCCGCTTTCTCCAACTTGGAATGGCGGATGGGCTGAAATTTGATGAACAACAGTTAGCTACGCTTATTGCGTATTGTGTTTGAAAGATTGGTTGACATACGTCTTTCTTCATTGCATCCAGCAGAAGAGCCTTGAGATCATTCAGGTAGTTGTTGATCCGTGCTCTTCGTTTTTTCTCCATGATCGGTTTATTCGTCTGCAAAGTAAATTAACTGGCTTTAGACATTTGCGAATCACGTCTATTATTGAAATGCGCAAATCAGATCATTGGCTAGAAAACGCGTGCCGCGCGTGTATGATCATGATCGGATCAATTCACAAACCATTCACGCATGTTTGCCATTTTTTTCTTCCCCGAAATTGTCCCTGAGCTCCACTTAAAAAAACGCACCTTTCTGATTTCCGCCTTAATCCTTCTGAGATAACTCTCAGCATCTCGATCATCGTTTCCATGGTGATCTGGTTTTCCAGGATTGGCCATCTTTCACCCACAGTTAATAATCCTTGCGATATCCCATGAAACACCCACTCGCAAACTTCACTCACTGATATCCACTTCCGTATCGATCGATTTCCGCTCTATTCTCACACCTCCACGCAACGCACCGATCGCGATCTGACACCGTTCACTTCCAAATTGCGAATGCCCGATCCAAAATTCCAAAACAACCCAAACCCACAGTGTGAAGCTATTCGATCCCAAACTCTTCCTGCACACATGTTGTTCCCACCGATCCCCGATATCATTAACAATTTATTCACCCCACCTCATTCCGTCGTCGCATGTTCAGAAGAACAGAACGAGAACCATTCCCACGATCTACGAGCTTCTATGTGTGGTGTGTGTGTACCCTACCCGTCTCTGTCCGTCTGTTTTAATAAATTTGACTTTCATCTCACTTGATCGTATTTTCCCACGCTGCTGCCGCCGCTGCCACTGCTACGTATAGAACGGAACCGAAGACGACCAAAACATAGGCATAGAACCCAACCAACAGAACCGAAGAAGCACACGCAAAGAGCAGTAGGCGCTGATGCAGCTGACCCACCAGAGCATAGCGTAGCATAACATAACAAAGCAGGCGCTTATCCGACTCCCATCGTGCACGCATACCTTCATATGCCTACCTACTGGCTGAATCAGCTACCGTCTACCGTCGTCGTCGTTGCACAGGATGTAAACAATCATACAACCAACAAGGAAGAAAATGCAAAAAAGGGGGAAGCGATCATAGCGATTGAGTGATTCACCTAGTAGTGAAGTTTTATCACCAAAAAACACTGTTTTTCAGTTTATAGTTGTTGATTCAGGGCACTTAAGGAGAAAGTTTTGGGCACTTGGGGACATATCTAACCCATGGAGACTTTTGTCGTCGTTCCAGCGGTTTTTGGAGATTACTCCGGTGAACTTATGGTGCGTTTTGAGGTATGTGGGGTGTTTACACTTATGCTATTTCACTAGCGCTAATGAGTCAGCTGCTAGCAAAAAAGCTCATCAGCATAATGTAAACAGGGCATCAGCGTCTACCAGCATAAGATTTCAGGAGCAACTGAAGTTCGTGCTAGCTGACTAGCAAATCCGTACAGATGTTAACACCCCAATAGTCGTTGTCAGAGGTGTGTTTAGACGACTTTGAAATTGGCCTTTCGAATGATCTGGATGCCTTTGCTAGGTTTTAAGGATGTGAGGTTTTCAATTCAGATTTGGTGGAGGATTCGTAGAGTTTCAAGTCAGGTTTCAAGCATTATGTTCATTCAATTTTGGAAATCTTGAAAGGTATGGTTAATGAACTTTCCACGGATATCTTATAGCGAATTCGTTTATTATTGGTGTTGGAACCAGTTCCATCCCAGTGTGAAACCGAAATTTTTGTCAGTGCGAACCTCAACCTGCGGTGGGTTTTAAAAACAAACGATCAAACTGACGTTTGTCAGAAAACAAGCAGACCCAATCTTGATACCCGATCCAGGTTGGAACTGAATAATAAACGAATTCACTTAGATTTTTCGGTAGAGATCTTTGGTTTGGCCATTTTAGTCGTCTGTTCTTTAAACTTTTCTGGACTACACCCAACCGGGGGATGTAATAAAGACAACAATTATGTGGGATTCAACATCGCAGTATGTTAGTGGAGACCGAGGGGGGCGACACATCTAAATCTCAAGTCTAGATGCTCAACAAATCTCCCACTAGCGAATCAATCTTCGAAAAATCTTCTTTCATTTCTCGCATCTACTTGCATCGCGCATCATCTTTTTGCAGGAAATCTTCAGAATCGCCGTTAATCTTCTTTCTATCTACTCAGCGTGCGCGCAGCTAGCCACAGCAAAACACAATATTTCCTGCATCGTAGATAGAGTCGTCCCCCTCGGTGGAGACTGCATAAACGTAGGATGAGATTTACCGAGCTGCTGTCCAATGAAAGGAAATTGGAAACCGAAAAATATGGTGGCGTATTACGGATGGCACTTCACGGTGAAAAGTTGTCACTTGTCGTCACGGCGAAGTGATTCTCATTTGATTTGTAAGGTAATCACGGGTCTTATCACTTGCTTATTACCGTGTAGTGACACCCGAAATAAGGGCCATGGAGTGTATGAGTAAGTGAAATTAATTATATCGAAAAAAGGGAGTGCCAACCAGGCTCGAATAACGAACGATGCGATTATCAGACCTGTGCTTTCTCCACTGCTCTCTCAAAAACTACCAAAACTGATACAATTTTTAAGTAGTGCATCTGGTGCAACTCAATATCAAAACAATAGAATTTTTTGATCTAGATAACAATAATTTGTCCAGAATAGATCAGACACGAATCAAATCAATAATTTTGCATGCGGGTTCATGGCTTAGCTAAATATTTCCCGCGATCATGGAGCCAGATGTCAGTAGTGTGCTTTGGTCAGAAATTTTATTGTTTTTGCTATGGTCATTCATGTCGGTTTGTCGGTGATGCTACTATTGCCGCTTCAGAGAAAATAATTCGGCGCAGCCACAGCATGCTATTAGAGCTGATAATCTGACGCCAAATGCTTATTTTTCTCTAAATTGGCAATACTATATATTAATTACTGGTCGCAGTTGATTTATGTACCGAACAGAGGAAAAAAACTGGAGCCAAAACTTCTTTAATAATCGAACTCTGAGAATTGTTCACTCTAATTTTCACATATCAAGCAAAAACTTACACCCCATTCTTCCCAACAGTTCCGATCAAATGATAATCGGCAATTATGACACTCTACCAGATCCTTCATTGCATCACCGCAAATAGCACACAATGCATATCATCGGAAACTCTCCCTTATTATGGCGCGGATCTTCCTTCGAAATTTTGTAACATCAACGTCTCCTTCGAATGAATCTTTCCCGGCCAGCAACTGTTCGACGAAAACCAGCAAGAAAATTCCACAACTCGTTCCGTCCTTCTGCTGGCTACACGGCACATCTTCTGCCTTCCACTCTTTTAAGCATCCAAGCGCTTCCTGTATCTCAGATGCGACAGCAAAGTTTGCACTGGTCGCTATTCGAAAAAACTTCTGAAGTGTATTTGTTGCTCTTCTTCTTCTAGCATTCCGCAGCGAATCCCACATTCTTAGTGTTTTATTCATTAAGTCAACTTCAAGAAGTACGAAGTGATCATAGGCGCACAGTGGCATGATTAATTTCCTATCCTTGAAGTTTATCAACTTGAGAACTTCACGTTCCACTATTCCGCTTCCATGACTTCTTGATCTTGCGTTTGAGTTCGCGTAATCAAACCCGAGAACGGTCCTGACGGCATACGGTGGAACAACGAAAAACTTCTCGTGTTCCCCTGCCAGCAGTACTGCAACGTACTCCACTAGAGAATCATAGAGTTTTCCGTTCAAGCTTCGGAGGTCCTTCGTGTCGATTTGAACACTGCGACCCACGTAGTGGATTGTTCCGAGAAATGTCCTACGGTTTATTTTATTGGCCTCCGTTGTTTGTTGTTTGAACGATCTGAAATCTGAAAATGTGCCACCAATTAAGCAATCTACTATGGAGCAGGTTTTAATGAAGGAGACCACGGATACCTGATCCAGTTTTGTCTCTTGAAGCTAATTTAGTAGTTGCTTTTTCGACTTCCAGGGTTGTTATACGAATGGAGATGTATTTTTCCTTATTTGAACATCTTTTCACCATCTTTCGTACATGCTTGTCTTGCCTCAATTGGGTTTTTCCAAATTGAGCATTTGGGCAGATCCTCGGATTGCTTACCTTGTTGTGTATGATATTGGATCTTTTCGAAACTTTTAGATGACTTCTTAACTTCTTCATTTATGGGATTTTGACAAGGCTAACACGTGATGTAGTAATAAAGAACAGAAATAAAACAGTATTTTTCACAGATTGCCTCGATCGTATTGAAACCTAATGAATTTGGTTACAGAAGACTGATAATCTGACAGATCGCTGTTGCCAACATCTTTTGATCACAGTGATCACAGAAATTAAAAAAAAATCATAGCGGTCAAACGATTTATTTTGATTGAACAGTTTGGTGAAAAAATATCCTCACTCTCTTGAAAACCGGGGGACGTGACTTGACAATCAAGCTTCTCACTCTTTTCAATGTTTTTGATGAATTTCGCGTGCGTGGTTTTGACGGGGTTAACCAATAATGTCAGAATTACAGAATGATTTTTCTATTTTAGTTTTGATCGGATTCGGAGTTTCTACCGCAGAATAGCACTTTGTACATCATTTTTGCTCAACACAATAAAAACAACCATAAACAGCAATATCCATCGCTTAAATCACGCAATGCACCTGGAGGTATTCAACCCTGCACACCTTAATTCGTGCCGAGGGATTGAGTTGTGCCGAAAGCTGTGCCAAGCGCTGTGTCGAACGTGCCTGTCCAGGATCATCAAAGTATTGGGACATGAAGTAGTTCGCCTCCTCGTGGTGTGCCCTGGAAACGTTAATTATCGAACCCCAGGGGGAGATATTGCGGCTAAACGAACTACCGCAGAGTAAGGACGTTGGAACCCCATCCAGCTCGTCCCAGGAGGTTGAAAAGCCCTGCACATAGCCTCGTTGTGCAAAGGCAGGAGTGACACCGGGCTCTTAAAGTGCTTAGCACACGCAGCTGGTAAGCGGTCACATCTGTCCTGTGCTGCCCTGGACAGTTGGCTGGCTATCACGTCTGCTCTAGAACTCAGGCGAACAACTAACAGCTGCTCACTGTGCAGTAGCGAGTGTCACGTCTGACACAACACTTAGTGAAGCGCCATAGCGCAATCGGCCCCCTCCCATGACGTAATGCCTTCGGGCGGTTCCGGGGAGGGCAAGGGCCTAGAGCACAGGGTAAGGTTTAGTGGGTCGGGAGTGCTACTTCTCCTATCCCCACACCCTGAGTTATCTTCTCAGGTGTCTGGGAGCAGATTCCCCCTGTATAAAAAAAAAGGATCATCAAAGTATGCCTATCAAGGTGTCAATATTCCATGAGTTTGGCAACCCTGAAAGTTATAACTTTTGTGATTATGTTTACATTCTCAATTTTTCTGATGTATGGCAAGCATTAACCTTCATTATTTTTAGAGCGTTAGTGGGTCAAGAGGAGGAAGAGGAACTGGAAACCCTCAAACCAATATGGTGTTCAAGCAAATTCAACCCGTCCAGAAGATTCTGGCTCAATGTCTTTTTGAATTGTTGATTGCTTGCAGGTGTACAGTGGAGAAACCCGATCGATGAAGAATGAAATTCCTGTCTATTAAATCCTCCCCGACTAAAGTAAACCCAGAACTCGAACGGG